TAGCACATTGATGGTAGGACATATGACTTCCAAGGAGAATGTGAATATACGTGTCCACTTCTGCATGCGGAGATATTCAATTTCTACCTGTTACAGTGTTGTTGCAAACAACCAGAAAATCAAGCCAAGTGACAGCGTCAGTTATACCAGAGAAGTTTATGTCATAGTTGAAGATGTGGTGAGTTGCTATTTACTTCTAGCACACATACTTCGACAATGCCCTTTTTTATCACTACTTTTCATAGCATTTATTGCGTAATCCAGTCCATACTCTGATGTTATTCTCTTGCTTGGCGTAGATTTATTTACTCCCCCATCTACTCTAACGTCATTATTGATAAAATGAAACACATGTATCGTCTTTTATATTGTTAGGAATATGAATTACTCCAGGGTAATAATGTTCGCGTAAACGGGTCTAGTGTAAATCTACCATACAACGATTTCAAGGTGGAAGTGAAAAATTCGGGCAGATATGTAGTAAGTATGCAATGATTTCATGAGCAAGTGATCGTATTACTATATTAATGCTCTCTGAATTCATTATATTTGTTTCTGGGTCACTATTTCATTTTGCAACATTGCTATTTGCAGAAACTTCTGACTGACTTTGGTTTAGTAGTTTTGTGGGATACAAGTGAAAGTGTGGTAGTCTATGTATCTCATACATACTGGAATAGAACATGTGGATTATGTGGCACACTGGACGGCAATGAGGCGAATGACTTCACAACTGACCAAGGGATCGTGGCAAGTATCTAATATTTGATCCTATTTACTTTAACTCAACGTTTTCGTATTCAGTAACTTAATTGTCTAATGTACAATTCCCTTTGAATGACGAGGCAATTATGTCGTGTAATGTAGACCCATGTAATGTTGTGCCTATTGGACTATACTAAATATCTTTGCTAACATGTCAGTAGTTGAGTGGCAAACGAACACAGAAAATAAATCACACCAAAACAAGCAGCAGCCATGGGTACGTGTACATACTGCATCTGATAGTAAAGGTCTGACTGCAGTTATTGAAATCGATGTTGTTCTTTTTCTTAACAGGTCGATGACATTAGTGTGTTTGCTGATCATTGGAAGACGAATGGCGATGAATGTACTGATTTGCCCACCACTACCTATCCATGTGATGGTTTGGACTCTACAGTAATTGAAAGATATAAAGCACAATGCAAAATATTATTCAATGAAACAGGTTGGTTATACAATAAATTGTGTTACCTGGCATTTTGTCTGCCGGTTTCTTCCCCAAAAGTTATTGGGATATAGCCGATATGTTAAAGTACCTGTTTAGGTTAAAGACCAAAATTAACGTTTCACCTTTTTGC